ATCCATCCATCCATCCATCCATCCATCCATCCATCTCTGTGATAGTCATATTTTCAGTTTCTCCCACTTGTGGACCTTTACTGTAGAGAGTTTGCTTATGTATGGAATTGTTTGCATAAATTCCTCAAACCCTTCCACTTTTCAAATTCAAACCTTTCTTACATTCTTTTTTTTTTTAAATTATGAACAGCAATACTCATCAATTAGTTTCCCTCTAAGCTACTGACTCATTAATATGAGGAAAAGAAAGGCTAGTATGGTAGGGTGAACCCTAAAGTGGGGAGGGCAAACTAAAAGTCCTATGTAGCTCCCAACATTTTTCTTGCAGACCACAGAGCACCCCAGGAGTGAATGGGGCAATATTTGTTTACTCCTTTTGGGAAGTGGAAGGATTTACACTGCAACATGGGTATTTTAAGCTCCATGTGGAACATGCTGATCCTCCTTTACATCCACCTTTGACAATTATGGCTGACTTTTATTTTTTTTTAAAGAATGGTGGTAGCTCAGGGACAATTTGCCTCACCCTTTCCTGGTCCTCCTTCTAGTCTTATATGCTCCACCTATCATGTCCTGGTTTTGCTGCGCTGCTGCTCCTTCCTCTAGCTACTCTAGCTACTCACTACATCAAACCACCAAGAGTTATTCTTCATCCAGATCTTTGTTGTACGTAGTTTTTGGAAACAAATGGCTTGTTTTTTATGGTTTTTTTGTTCATTGCCAAAATAGATGCTAGCAAACCCCAGTCACTGTTCATTTTTCTGCTGTAGCAGCATCTCTTTTGTCGACTCTTAAAAATCCAGTCCTTCAGAAATCCATGGATTTCCCTTTCTTCCATATACCTTGTTGATCTGTACTGACCCAGAAAATAGAAAAATGCAATATAAAGTGTAAAATCATAAAGTGATAGACTGCTAAAATTACTTGTGAGACTCCCAGTCTACATGTTCGTGAAAATTGTTTTCCTGCCTGATTCAGCTCAGTAAAACAACTGGAGGTCACTTGTAAATCTCTTCTGATGGCAGTATGTTCTGGTTTGTTGGATATCTTGGTTTAAAAATGGCAACATACAATTCTTCCTGCTTTTGAATTAATAGTTTGTCAACGGTACCTATTTCCATATTATGTGCCCCAATATAGCTAACAGGGAAAGATCAAGCTTCAGATTAAACCAAAACCAAAACAAACAAACAAAAACCCACTAGCCTGCTTATCTCTCTTCCTTTTCATTTCACCTAACAGAAGACAAGATCTGGACAGTGATGCAGCACAACAACACTGAACTGACTCGTGTCCATGGGTCTGATCCTAGGAAGCCTTACACCATGAACTTCAGTTACAATAGCAGTGGGGAACAGCTGGACGCAATAATAAATAATGCTGAATACTGTGAACAGGAGGCAACTTACCACTGCAAAAAGTCACGTCTGCTGAATTCCCCAAGTAAGTGCCATCAAGTGAAATCTTTGTGTTTTGGGTTTGTGTGTGTGTGTGTGTTTATTTTAGCTCCAAATAGAGCAAATAATTGAAATGAAAGCATGGCTGAATATAATGTCACAAGCTTGACCCTGTAGGGTAAAGAGTGAAGGAGGCTAAAGCCACTTGACCCAACCACTCTTTCTGCCCTCACCATTGCTCCAAAGTAGAGGTAGTTATGTTTAGCTGACTCAGCTAAATAGCCCTTTACTTTCTGGCTTTTTTCTTCAACCATGTTCTTCTCACTCAGATTCTGTTTTTCACGCCACAGTCTGCTTTTTTTCCCAACTCTGTTTTTCAGAATTATTTGTATACAGCATTTTCAGTCCATTCCAAAGGACTATCTTTGTTTCTTTTTAACTGGGAGATTCCTAAATTAAAACTCTGAGCTTCCTGTGAGTTTATTTTTGCCCTACCTATAATTTCTAGGATAAACAACTGATCTAATGAATTTATTTCTTCTGTTAAACCTTACATTCCTGGGCTGGATTATGCAGAGTCCCAAGGACCAAACAAAGGTGGCTGAAAAAGTTTTATTCCTTCACAATAAATATAGTCAACAACAATATATTACTATTAACATTGATATAACTATTAGTATTATTATTACTACTAAATGTTGAACATTTATATCAAGGTGAGTTGGATCCAGTTTTGTCACATTCTCCACAATAGGTGGTTTAGAATATATATCTCTTCCTAGTCTTTAATCCGTCCAAGTATATTTTTCAGTTCTGTAATGTCTTGATGAAGTCTATTGGAATTTAGTAATAATGTTAGTAATGCCTTCCAGTTTCCCAAAGTTTTCTTCCCCTGCAAAAGAGGTGTCTATTTTTCTTCCTTAACCTTAGAAGTATTTGAACACTTGAGAATTTGTTTGACTTTTTAATGGTGTTCTTTTTGATCTTACTGTGCTGCTGTTGGAGCTGTTTATCCTTATACATCATCTGCAACCTTCCTGGCTGTCCACACTTCTTAATTTAAGAAAGCCCAATAGAAGGAGTTCCCTCACTATGGCTTCCCTTTTGAGTGAGCTGAAATGAGAGAAGCCAGGGAGGTGGCAGGCTGCTGAAACTGTGATTATACAGTGCAAGTCAGGATTTCTGTCCTTGGGGACATCATAACTCGTCAAAGGCAAGAACATACTTCAGCCATGAGCTTTTCATCAGAAGCAAATTCTCTTTCATCAAATTGCATGAGAAGAAGGAGGGAAAATGTGGGGTAATGGTTCTGCACAGCGCCATTAGTTAGGCTCAGTTTGCCATTTTAAAACTTCATCTTCGGCATTTTAATTTTCCAAGCATGAAATTAGAAAATATTTGATTGGGTAATATGTATTTGTTGGGGATTTTTGTTTGTTTGTTTGTTTGTTTTAATGTAGTTAGTGTGTGGGAGGATTGTAAACTGCTCAGAGTCAGTTGACCATTTGGAGCAGCACATAAGTCTATTAAAACAAACAAACAAATGAACAAGTTGGGAAAGAGATTGATTTACCAGCTCCTTGTGTCTTTTGCCTGGAAAATGATTAAACCCAAAGTTTTATTGCCATCTCCTGAACAATAGAACATTGCAGTTTAAAAGCCATACTCTGGAAGTACACATGTTCTCCAAACTCAATCTACCTTTTGTTGCCTTTCTGACAATTGTTGCCTTATTGACACGAGATGATTATGGACAGGCTCATTGTTTGGTTGAGCATAATTTGAGAAAATTAATACCAGTGTTTCTAACATTTCTCTTTGTTTTAAGAATAATACTTTTCTTAAGGAGAATGATTAGCCTGGAGAGGGGGGAGCCAAAATATGGATTTCAATTTAAGGATATTCATTTTCAGCTGTTAGAAAATATAAGTGTGAGTAGCTGGGGTTGGAATTACTTGAGAAATTATTTTGGTACTCAGAACTCATTGTTCCTAGAATTGGGAACTCTTGAGTATTGTCTGGCTTTCAAACACATGGGAGACAGCTTACTTTTATGCAAGCAATGTATGCACTGTATGTATATAACTTTATTTGGAGTCATAAGAGAATGTGTAGCAATTGGCAGTAAGGAATTTAGATATATATTCAATGTAATATCTTGTGTGTTTCTGAAGTTTCATGAACATCTGTAAATAGTTTATATCTATAGTTTACCTTTATTTGGTGAACCAGAGAAATCATTCATTCATTCATTCATTCATTCATTCATTCATTCATTCATTCATTCCAACTTCTCTAGTTCTTTATCCTTTCAATAAGACTCTGCTTTTTTTACCACATTGTCAAAATTAATGGAATCCTTTGAGTATTCCAGTTAATGTTGTGCCAAACGCTTCCTCTCCATTTTTTTCTCAAAACTTCATTTATTGAGGAATCCGCTTGATCGATCTATTTATTAAAGACTGGATTCACATATTACACTAAACCATTATTTTAACTGTGGATAGATGAATGAGATATGGTAACATAGCTTACACATAATACTAAGCAATCAACTGGTTTATAAGCTGCAGTGGCTGGGTAACACTGTTAGCAAAAATGTGAGAGTTCTTGATTCTCCCAATTAGGGTTCAGTCCGGCAGAAGATCAGACACGAAAACACCAGCTGAGATTTTAAAGTTTTATTGAAAGCAAGCCAATAGAGTCAGCTGAGGTCTCCCCTTAAGGCAGAGAACCACCCTGATCACACTCGAAGAAGATTTTATACACGTTTCTTACACAGAGATACAGCAATTAACAAATTGATTGGCTAAAATTAGCATAAATTTGGGATCCTCCATATCATTGGGGGAAACTTATCTCCCCGATGACCCATTGGTTGCCAGTCAAAGTTTGGGGCACCCCCTTTGATCGTCTGATATTTATTGTTTCATGGAATGCAGAGGCATCACCAGAACAGCTGAAGGGTGTTCTGAAGGCTATCAGATTGGGGTCAGTTCCTCCCATATCTTTATGGC